TAAGTATTATCATTTTATTATTGAGATATTATCAGTCTGATGAAGGCCTACGTCAAGGTTGGCCGTGAGATACTGGTATGAAGGTTTTTTGGCTTGTGCTTGACAACTTTCATGCATGATCCAACTACCAAGCTAATGAACATTTATGCTTACCCAAAATCTTGTTTTACAGAACAGAAACTTTATTGGTGCGATGGAAATTATTCCAAAATTGAAGTGTCCGACCCAGATGGAAGTAACAGACGATCTTTGATTGAAGCTAGAACTACTGTTAATCGCTACTACTTTGGCATTGCCGTGGACGATCGGCATATGTACTACACTGATTGGAGCTTCGCTTCTTGGTACGTCACTTCCGTTGAAAACATCTGCAAGAGAAATTTTATGGACTAAAAGTTTTTTTAAAATATTTTTTTTTAATTTTAGTTTTAAAATGTTTGTATATGTCTGGATGTGAATTGAACCTGGATTAGGGCACATATATTTTTAGATCAAATTTCCTAAACATGTGGGTATACTATAGCATGAGCGTTACAGAAAATCAAGGGGAATGGGGTTAAACCGGCTTCCAGATTCATTTCGCTTCATGATGTTAAATATACATATCAACCAAAAGCACAGATATTTACATTCCCTTTAAAGCTAACTTATGACTACTATCACTTTCTGGCACAACCGAAAGAAACAAGCCAAAAAATATTCCAAAGTAATTACGCGCCCAACCGACAAAAAGCTTTAAAAATTGCGTCTTCTTCAAATACCTCCTCGTTAAGTTAACCTGCTTATCCCTCCCCCAAGTGTTTGCAGTGGAAAGAAAAAATTTGACAAAAGGAAATTATAGAAGGATACGGTGGTATAATACTTTTCGAAAGTATGTGATGGTATTTGGTTGGGTCTCTAGTGGCAATAATTTACAGGTGTAGCCTACTCGATTAAAGGGAGAACAACTCTTCATATGAGATCTATATTTCGCTATAAATACATTGTAAACAACTCATTAAAATATAATATATTCTATTTTGTCACAAAAATGACAGTAATAGCCATAAATCTGAAATATATGCTTGCCATCCGACCATATGACCTCCATAGAAAGCTATACTCTGTAATAACCTCTTAAAAAAAAAAAAAAAAAAAAAAAAAAAAAAAAAAAAAACAGGGACTAACTGTGAATGTAGAAATGGATTCGTTGACCATTGGTAAGTATGTGAAAATTGCTGTAACCCCAGGAAAATTCATTTTTTTGGCCAAAATGAAGTTGCTATCTCTTTAATATACATCTTTATTGTACAGTATGTTGATATTGCCAGCAAATGTATTTCTTTCAAATCTGTTTATTCAGCTGTATATTCAATTATCTCAATTGATCTCTATTCTTTTATTTATTTATTCTCTATTCATTTTTGGAATTTTTGTGACGCACATTTTAACAGGAAGTTCCACAGAGCCAACAAACACGACGGCAGTAACACGACTATTCATACTGCCAGTTTTATTCCAACGGCCAGGTTAACTGGTGTTCACGTGTATAGAAGTTCATACCATTTATCAGGTAAGGCCTGGGTTGTTTACAGAAAATATAATGTTGGTTTTGGGACTATAGTCCACGAGGTGTAGCCGGAATATGTTAAGAAATGAAAATGCTATTCCATTTTCGCGAATGTAAAATATTGGTGTTTTTGGGAGTGTAAACTCTAAATGTCCCAAAGTAACTGATTTTGGGTCCGCTAACTTCGCATTTCTTGCCAATATACCAAATTTGAAGAATTAGACTGGGCTTTTTTCCTATCAGTGTTATGATTGGCCGTGTCACCAGTCAAATCGACGAATCCCCTCCTGCGACCTTGACCGTTACTATTATAAACAATGCGACTCTCACGATTTTGCAATCAACAAAACAAAAGTCAATAGCCATAGCCATATATCAATTACGTATTATCGAAACACTCCCACAGAGTTATATCTATACCATTAAGTGTCCCTGGAATCAAAGTTCAGTTATATGCAAATGGATTTCTGTGAAGATTTAAATCCTTTGCACATTTTACGCCTTTTATTTTAGTGCTTTTTATCTACCTGATTCTGAATAGCGTACATGTAAAAATAATGTAACAGGGCCTGCTCGGGGTAGATGCGACGGATTAGAGAGTGGCTGTCATGCAATAATCTGGGATAATCTGTAACAATCTGTAAGCAACTATATATATATATATATATATATATATATATATATATATATATATATATATATATATATATATATTGAGACATTTGAGAGAGAGAGAGAGAGAGAGAGAGAGAGACAGTGTCCTCAAGATGGTTCCGGTCTAAAAAGGTGTTCGGTAGAAAACGATATATTCTAACAAGTCACAAAACAGCAAAGTTTGCCCAGTAAGACATTTTCATTGACACTAGAACATGTAGGCCTACAAATAAATATACTTGTTTCTCTTCAATGTACGTTTGCTATCGATTAAAAACAATAGCAACTTCTTGTGCAGGTTATGCACTCAAATCTTAAGTGTTACTACATGTACTAGCTAGGAGCATGTTTTTTTTTGCTGTGAAAGCGCATAGTCTCTTAATCATATTTATCAAAACCAACCAAGAGGCATTGTGCATGTATGAAAGAATAAAACCATAATTATGGTTCTGTATTTGAAATAAGTACAAAAATACATGTCTTCTTATACTACCAGTAGTACTACTGGGTGTGATAATACAGAAAAAAACCGTTTATTACCTCCGCCAAGGAGGTTATGTTTTCACCCCTGTTTGTTTGTTTTTCTGTCTGTCTTTCTGTCTGTCTGTCATCAACATAACTCAAAAAGTTATGGACCGATTTTGATGAAATTTTTTGGAACTGTCAGAAATGGGCCAAGGAACAGATGATTAGTTTTTGTTGGTGATTCGGATCAATAATCAATCAATAATAATCGAAAATTGCTGCCTTGGCGGAGGTCTGCGCTCTCGGAGAGCTTTTCTAGTTCATAATGTGCTATGCACCAGTAAATTCTGAATCTCACTTAACACACTAATTACAAACAATGGGAGGTGTAGTAGTCTATGTACATCATAATGAAAGAATTTGTTAATGTTGCATTGGGGTTGAATATAATCATTTTATCAAATTATGAATGTCACTATTCTTCTGTTTAAAGGGGAAATGGAATACTATGAGAATGTCAATATATTTATAAATACAGCTATAGTGTAAATGAAACTAGAAATTTAGGTGGATTTATATGACATCAGACAATTTCTCATTCGCAAAACAAATCCCATTTTTTTCTTCTAGTAGTTCTTCATGCATATACTTAAATAAAGATACACATTTTAAGGTGCAGCAAAGGTGTACTACACTATCAAGTGTTGGGAAAGGGGAATACATTTTCTTTTATCATACTTCAATATACTATACTGTAACAATCACACAGACAGCTGCTTAGGACTGGTATGCAACATCCTTCATATCTGTTTCTGAAAGAAAATGCATTTACTAGCATACCCATATCAGAATTACAGTACAGGGTTAACGCGGCATCAGTAAGCACAAATAGAAGTACTTTTGAGGCCCCAAATCTTGGATGAAGGATCAATTAAAGGGGTCTGGAGGTGGCTTCCCACTTACTACTTAGTACTGTAGAAACCCACACCCTTCATCTGACCTTTGGGGTTTTTCATAGCCGCCTGTTCAAGCCATGCCCGGCCATGTCAAGCCGACGCTTGTTTATAAACGCATATTAGATTGCATGTACATCCAACTGGTCGTACATGCAATCCCTGTCCAAGACTCCGACAAGTGACTGGATGTCATTGGCTTCTCTGTCCCAAACAGCACCCATTCCGTTACTGCACACAAATGTCTCCCTACACCCTCCTGAGATGTCGACCTTTGTAAAAGTTAAAGTTAGCTTTATTACTACCATCAAAGGCCTTACTATTAGCTCGGACGATATAAATTGTTGCGCAAGATAACAAAGAGTTTTACTTTTTACTGACGGCTCATGAAAATTCGGCAGATTTAGTCTGGTTAGCGGCCTTCAGTGTTTATTAATTTATAACCTTTTTATCAAAACATGATATTAACGGCCAAGGTCACAAGTAAGTAGATGTCGATTTGACTGCTCCTACTGGCTGGCAACTCACCACCTTGACAGTAAAAAAAGTTCCAGTCCAAATGTTCAAATGTTCAAACCATGGCATATTGGCAAGGTATATGAAGTTAGCGGACCCAAAAGTAAATACTTCGAGATACTTGGGATTTATAACACTCCCAATATTTTACACTCGCAAAAATGGAATGGCATTATCGTTTCAAAGCGTATTTCCGACGAGACCTTATGGACTAAATGGACTCAAGTCAGAAATCGACCCAGTAGTCTTGTGGCGCTTGTTACAAAGATGGTTCACATGTATCAAAAGATACATGTAGTACAGCAAGCGCCTACAGGTATATCCATGTATTATTACACATTATTTCAAGTTGTTGTATACAGTCACATATTATCAAATGGCATCTTAAACGACTGCACGCACTATAGAGTAATCTTCTTGTTGCAATAAAGGGTACCGGAGGAGATCAGCATTGGTCAGAATTGTGCCGGAAGTGTGACGTCAAGTTATGTTATCTTATCGTGTTGTTAGAATAACTGCTTTTTTCTCCAGGCCCACGTCTTCATTCCCATTCACTTCCAGCTAAAAATGACCACTCAGCTCTACGTCTTACACCACTACACGTCACTTCCGGCACAATTCTGACCAATGCTGATCTCCTCCGGTACCCTTTATTAACGTCCCACATGCTTTGGCAACTTTGCATTGTAGGATCGAACGCTTGCAGTGTAAACAATGGGGGTTGTCCATACCTGTGTCTGCCAAAACCCAACGGCAGAACGTGCGCATGCCCAGATGAGGTGTCCGGTTGCATTTTGACTACATCTTCTACCACATCTACAACTACCGTTGTAACAACAAACCCCACTACTACTACTACTACTACTACTACTACTACGCCAACCACAACAACGACGCCTACAACGGCTTCTACTACGCCTACCACGCCTACTACCACCACCGGAACACCAACATCCAACACTCAAGTTTCAACTTTGAATAAAATTTCAACAACTTCCCTAGCAACGACAGTGTCCGCTTTGCCTCCCACGGTCACGCCAGCTTCTACCAGCACGACCGTAACTCCCACTGGAAAAGAAGGAGGTATGACTTCCAAATGTCAAGAATAATTCTAAAATAGAAAAGTTGATAGCTGATAATGATTTTGAATAGTAAAATTATGAAAGGAGTTTGTTTTATCATTTAAAGGTGACTTTGAAACAGAGACCACTCATGCAGTTTGAAAGAGAGGAACTAGCTCCCTTAGCAAAATAAAATAAGTTTACAGCACATTTCCAGCAAATTTGCTGCCAATTTGCTACAAACTAAACCTTTTGCAGGTTGTTGCAAGAAAAAAAATTGCTGCAAACTTGCTACTTATTTGCAAAAGCATCTAAAGTTTGAGGCAAGTTTGCAAGAATTCTTCATATAACTTCGAATTGAAAACAATACCTCATATGCCAGTTAGAATTCCTTTTTTCAACTTTGCAACAAGTTTTCAAAAAGTTTCATATTTTGCTAAGAGGGTTGTACATTTTAAATTGCCTCCCGTTATCCAGTGCATCGACCAAATGTAAAAAATTAAGACATTGGAATTGTGATATCACCACTTTAATCTTCATCAAATCCCTAAAAAACTTTTCAAACATTATTTGTAATTTTTTTGCGATTCCAATAATGAAAGACCAGGACTCGACAAGCATCCCGCTGGTAATTGGTGTCGCAGTGGCCTCACCGCTGGTCACTCTCATATTGGTGGTGATCATCATACTAGTATTTTTGAGAAGACGAAGGTGAAATATCCCTCTCTCCCCCTATCTCTCTCTCTCACACACACACACACTCTCTCTCTCTCAATTAATGTTTTGTATATGTGTAATTTTCCATTCATATGTTCCTATATCTGTTCATCTATCTTTTTTTTACTATGCATTTTCTTGGTTCAGTTCGTTATCTTTCTTGTTAACTATGTATTTTATTAGTTTAGTTTGCTTTTTTGGATACACTGTATCTTTTATTTAGTCTAGTGCATTACTGTACATTTCCAATCATAGATTTTTTCTTGTGAATCAATTCTTATTATCCTTTTTGTCTTGGAGATGGGGCAAATGTGGCATTCATTTATGAATCTTATTTCAGAACACCGCCATCTAACCCACAAAGCTTACATGTTTCTCACTCTAACCCAACGTTTTCCGACGTTCCGGCACCTTCCCCTCCTAAATCACCTAAAGGACAACTTCGTCTATCAACCAGCTCGGACTATGACTTAATTACAGGTGACTACCTAACATTGACAGCAGATAATATCTATGAAGTACCAAGGACCCAAGAGAATCAGTATGCAAATTATGTAGGCATCTTACCGCAGAATATTAACGTATAATCAGCAGCTTCAAAGAGGGCCCCCCCCCCCCCCCCGCCAAAAATATAAAAATAAGTAACTAAACTCCCCTTCGCCTCCCTTTGGTTGAGCTAAGGAAGAAGAGAGCAGATATCTACCTGTTTGACTCAACCTGGGGATTTGGAATATATATATATAAACCTTTGTTAACTTTGGGTTCAGAGAGGACTTTTTCCTAGGCCAAAAAGGCGGCCCTCCCCTCCACATCTCCCCCCTATCAATACTTCTCCCTACCGCCCTGTGTACATATATTAGTAATTTGAATAGAAACAACAGTAAAGGACATTCTTTACGCCGCTTAACAGCAGAATACTGACAAAGACAAAACTTTGATATATATAAAGAAAAGGTAATTATAAAACACTGACACACAAATGACGTACGTTATAAACATCTAGTTGGAGTTTAATGCAGTCATTTTTATGGGAATATAGGCTTACAGTTTATTGTGTGGGAATTTTGTTAAGCACGTATGTGTACGTCAATATTTGATCAGAGTGGGACGCCCTAACAGCCATAACAGCTGTTTAACCAAACATCTCGACTCCCCCCCCCCCGACCATGTTGCATGTGAACAATTGGGGTAGTTAGGTATTTAGTTTATTTCCTATTTTTGGCTGGGCAAACGATGCAGTGTATCGATACAGTATATTATAAATAGGATTTGATCGACTGCATACATTTTATTTAAAAATATAAACAAGTTGATAAAAAAGTAATCTTTATTGAGTATTTCTCCAGGCACAATCTAATGCATTTTTTTACATCTGAGACGCAAGAACTTAATACTGGTGAACATATGACGACAGTCTGCTGAATATATACATTCACAAACGACGCGTTTTTCGGGTTGTATAGAACCACAGGCATAATCTTGCATTTATTCATGAACAAAGCAAATAGAAATATCAGGACCAACTATAAAAAAGTTCAGTTGTGTTTATAATATGTACATATAGCAATGGCGGTTTGGAACCTAATAAATATTAAAAGCATACAAGTACAAGTAGTGTTTTATTTGATCTTTCATAAATTCATTTATTCAACTCTATGTCAATTCAAGCAATTCATAGCTAAAATGCACACCAATCCATCCCCTTTCACATGTAAGCACCCCACTGTAATCCAACACTTAGGAATATTTTGACACTTTCAACTTTATTTTATGGGTTTAATTAGGACTTAATAATATAAAACATCGAATTCAAGTGCAAGAGACCGTTCGAGCGATTGTCCGTGGGTAGGGGAAATAGCTTTATTAAGGAAAAATTATATTTGGCGTGAAAATTCCGGATTGGACATCTTTTAGATTAGCCGTCTAAGCACAGCCAAAAAGCCAATATTTAACATTAAGCAGGTCTTTGCTGTAATTACAGACACGAATGACGCGTTCAAACTTACTTTTATGACAGCCCGTGGAAATATACTTTTAACTTTTCTAGCATCATAAAATATTTGCACGTAATTTTCGTTGTAATGAAGTACTTTCTCTTGTGCAGTGCGTTTATCACGGAAACATGGTTTACTTCAACGTGTAATTCTCTTTTAGCTACTGATTTTTAGAGTTGTTTATTCTTCTCATACGGAAAGGACGATTACCATAGCATCAATCGCCCTAACGTGAAACATGTACGTGTACCACGTAAACGGCATTCTTTAGACGTTAACGTAGAGATATATGGCGACAGTTTGAATAACACTTTTAATACAGATTTGTGCTTGATGCGGTTTTGTTGTTAGCCTGGTTAAGGAATGCCGTCACGATGTGCATTTATTACGGTGGCAAATTACCTGTGAAAAGAAGGCGGTTGTCTTTGACCCCGGAACTCAGAATTAACAGACAGCACTCAGGTAAAGTAGGCGTTCACTAGCACTAAAATATTGCTGTAAGTATGGAATATGTCATAAAGACATCATGTACTGAGCTCATAATTTTACCCATTTGTTCAATTAAGGTGGCCCATCCCACCGAATTTTTTCCACCCATAAAATTTATACCTAATTTTGTTGAAGCTTAATCATTTGAAAGTCGCCATAGAAGAAACATGGGTGCTGTCCACCTCAGCGTCGCCGCTGTTCTGTTTGTTGTAACATTTTGGCAGACTGCAGCTACGGAGGAAGGAGAGAATAGTACGTATTTAATAAGGCGTAATTCTGTTTATTACATTCACTTTTGATTGTTACTTATTAACCTAACATCAGTATTTATTTGTTTACTTACTTCATTAAGTTTTTTAATATTCTTAGTCCCTAGTTGGAAATTAAATTAAGTTGTATTATATTTCTTAGTCTTTCCAAATGTATTGCTATTAAAATGCTCATTAAAACTATAGGTTTTGTTTGTATTCGACTCTCTGCGAATGTACTGAAATGGTTGATTCCTAAGGTACGCTCGATTTGGCTGTTGAGTGTGAGTGTGTGTTTGTTTGTGTGTAACAATTACAAAGCCAAAATCTTTATGTATATTTGTTGTATTTTGTAGAGAGAAAAAATAAAACATAGCAATCAACTTTTCTAAATAAAGGTTATTAACACATGTGATAGAACATCACAATCAAAGTGAACCAAGGATATTTTCCACCATTCTGAATAAATATTCTTAAGAAGTTTAACCTTCTTTAATAGAAAACTGTAATTATCAAAAAAAAAAAAAAAAAAAAACATAAATGGCGATTTTGTTTTAGTAACATGAGGCGTTTTTGATACCACGAAGTAATTAATGCACAATATTTTTAAATATTTTAAATATTTTTAAAAAATGATAAAGCTGCATAAAAAAATCATCCGGGCTTCTTACGTAATTTTTTCAGCTGAATCTATCCCACCAAATGAAGTTCAAACTTTTTAATCGGTGAACCGCAAACTTTTACATATTTTTCACATTTTAATTAAACAATTTTAACGTACATATATTCGACTGTTTGAGAGGAGACTGTATAAGTTGGGTGAATCAAGTTCATACCGCACAAGGAGTATTATTTTAGAAATGCACCCCTAATGCACTTATTTTTGATAATGATTTATTGCTCGTCTCATGTTTATTAATCTACCTCACTGCGTCACTGGTATTTACGCCTTTGGAGCTGAATTAATCAACAATTTGTCATTCAAAATGTAACTATGAACGAGTTATCTTGACTTTGTATTCAAGCAACTACCCGCCCATTTACGTAGTTATACGTTTTGGCGTCCATATAAGAGGCCACCTACTAATAATTTCAGTGCACATAAATTTAAAATACACCAAGAGTTGTTTGAAGCAATGCTGAAATAAAAGTGCTCAATAGATCAAGAACTTGCTATATACCGGCACAACTATATTGCCTCTTTTTATTCCTGTTCCAAATTTTTACCCTAATGTTATAGTGACAGCTGAACTGGCATATAACTGAAAACGCCGTGCAGCTATTTAAAAGACGGTTCGCATTGACCCATTTAAGGTCGGCCACTTTTGTCTGCCAGTCATTAAATGAAAATCAAGTGACATAATGGTTCTTAGTCAATTTCATCTTATGCACTATTTGTTTACTACAGTTGCAGGTCATCCACTGTTTGAGCAGCAAGAGCATCACTAGTTTATCAACACAAGTGTAATTTGGACTTACTATCAGTTCACACGATTTAATGAGATTACACCCAAAGTTAAAAATACAAATTAAAAAAATCTGTCAATAGGCTTGGGCATGTTATTTTTTTTCAAAACAGGCAGCCATTTATGAAAATCAACAGGGTACATTCTAGGTCTTTTAGTTGTCCAAAAAACAAGCAAAAATTGCGTCCTATATCGTGACACACACACACACACACAAACACACACACACACAAAACTGACTGCAAACAAACAAACTGATATACTTGCCAAAATGTTTTCGCAAGTAAAGGAAACATTTATGCTTATAATACAAAGGTGGTGAGTTACTGGCATGCTATGAATTATTTACTTCATTCATATATGTGGTTTAGATAAAGTTGTCGACAGTCTCCTCTCATTGCCCTTTCCAAACACTGATTTGTGGTCTGTGTTCTCATCCATTGTGATCCTTTTATTTTACCACCTTTAGTTCATGTCGGATTAATATATACTTGTTGGAGTTATCTTCTGTGTGAAGGGTTGGTTGATAACACGTCACGTCCTTATCTTAAGTTAACTGTTACGTTAAATGGAACGTGTTTATACGTGAGAAAAATATAACTTTGTTTTGAAACACATGGTTCTAAATTCCTAAATGCTATCATTAATTATTTGTCTACTTATCTCATTGCAGAGTATTGTGGCGAACCACCCCAGGTCGCGTTTGCATATCGAGTAGCATTAGCAAAGAATTACAGGAAAGGCGAGAGAATCCGCTATACTTGTGAAAAAGGTAGGCTCATGTAATAAAAAGGCGGTGTGTCAATTTTTTTTTTGGAGAATGCAGGTTTATGCACTATGGGGACTTAATCTAGTATACTTTGAACCGATTGTTTACAATGTATAGGGCAGGTTTAGTGACATATAAACGGCACGGCAATTAAGATCTCTGTTCAGCACCAACAGCGGTCTCCTGCTTCGTTGTCAGCGATTTCTAAGTGGATCTTATCAAAATACTCTTTAAATTTAAAAAGTACTGTGGGAAAAGTCGTTCAGTGTATTTGCAAACCTTTAATTTACCGGGGTATTATACCTAGAATGGTATTTTAATATTTACATATTGTTTTTATTAAAAAAGATTAATCCCTTGTATCTAATGACGAAAGACAAAATATAGATTCTCTTCGTTTCCTCTAGGATATCAGCATGTTGGCGGATCTTCATACAAATTCTGTCTCACGGGAGTATGGGTTGGGCATAACATTATATGTGAACGTAAGTAGAAAATAAATGATTTACTTAAAAATCATCACACAATGTCAGGGGTTGTAATGTTTATATTCACAACCCCCTTTGCGGTAACTATATCTTATTCTTTTATTTTATTTTATTATTTTCATCACCATAAATTTGTGCAGTAAATGGGTTCAACTGGTTTATCTATTAAAAGACGTACAGAATAGGATTGTTTGACATTATACTTAAAACAGTAACAGTTATGGTGTATATTTTTTACAAGTGCTAGCTTCACCTGTTGTATGTAGAAAAAACTTTTATCGCTTAGTATGTGTATTTACTTGAACTTGTAGAGTATTTTAAAATATATATATACAATATTTAATAGAATATTTAAATGAGCATACCAAAATATGGATTGGCGTTGGTGATTTTTTTGTGACTTTGACTATAGAAATTGCACCACCAACATCCAATTTGTACCCTGGGGCTTTGTTCGACTACAAGCGCCAATGCTGCCAAAAAGGATTGAGGGCTCGAACCGGAAATGAGTCATGCGCCACCTTGGCCAAGTCGATGTGCGAACCGTGCAAGACTGCCTTCCTGAAATGCTGTCCTGACCAAGACCTGCCTCAAGAAGATGTTCAGCCAAGTAAGGGACTATGGTGTTATTTATCTATCAGGCCCGAAGCCGCCAGCGATTTCAAAGGGGGGTGGGTGGGTTCTAAAAGAAAAAGTGGACCTTTTCTTTGAAACCTTCTTGCATCTTGATCAAATTTCGTCCAGTGTGGACAATCGCTCGGCAGAAGTGCGGTTCTTTGTAATCCCTCGAATCCTCCTGGCTACTGACCGGTCTACTTATTTATATAAACATTGGGGTGAGTGATTAGCAACTTTTTGACCGTACTGATATTGAATATACAGTATATGCATTATAAAAAGTTATATAACCTGATGGTTGTCCAACGGACTGGACCACGGTCATGTGTCACGGTTCTGAAAAGGAATGTAAGAGATAAATTCAATCGTTATGAAAATTATGTCTTCTTATGTTTACCATCCAAGGTGGTAATATTGCTTTAGGGGCTGGGGGGGGGGGGGGCGGGGCGCTGCCATAAGTTAACATTAACGGCGTCTCAGTTTGTATGCCAGTATGTACACAAAATTTTAGGAGCTGATTTTTACTCTATGTCGTTATCCATTCTGTTTATTTTACCTGTCTGTAGTATGTCATATTTAGCAAGCATGTAATATAATATAATATAATATAATATAATATAATATAATATAATATAATATACCAGTGAGCTGTTCACAGCCTCCCAAGGTCGCATACGCCTACGTATCAGCCCCAGAGAAGTTATACGAACATGGAGGAAAAGTCCACTACATTTGTCTGAAAGGTACTTAAAAAACTTTTTTTAGAAAGCACAAAATCAAATACATTGAGTATGTAGTAAGTTTGCCATTAAATTTACTAGTCTGTCATCCTGTAAAGCTCTCCGAATAGTGTCTTGAAAAGTGCAACTAGAAAGTGGAAGTCTTTTTTCCTGGGATTTATACAGCGTCCCTTTTTCTTAAGGCTATCAACAGACCAACGGCTCCACACACAAAGTTTGTGAAAATGGAACATGGACGGGGGAAGATATTGGCTGCGAAAGTAAGTTATCATATTAATGGGTCACATGAATATTTTCTCAATTTTTTTTCTTTTTGTATTTATACGTATATTTAAAGTGCAATTAGTAATAACGCAAGCTATGCGTTTAAAATAGTAAGAGAATGACGTATTTGCGGTATATGAATGGTCGTCTAAAGGTCATGTTCAGGACCAGTTGGTCCGCGGACTAACTAGTCCACGGATCAAACATGTCTGCAGGGGTAGGGCAATTAAATACCGGCTTGCTTTCAAGTTGGTCACGCCAAATTGATCCGCCGACTAGTTAGTCCGTGGATCAACTGGTCCTGAACAGGCCCTCAATATAATAAACATAAATTACATGAATTTGTGCATATTTGTGTTTCTTTCTTATCAGAGATTACACTGCCTCCAAACCCGGACATTGACCCAGATGCACTGAAGGATTACATTCGGATGTGTTGTCTTAAGGGGCTGAAAACCAAGGCCGGAAGCGGAACCTGCAAGGAACTGTCTCTTCCCATGTGCGAACCTTGCAAGACCCCGTTTCTGAAGTGTTGCGTGGATAAAACCATCAACATATATAGATCGACTCTTTATACAGCAATTACGTCATATTCAAAATTATTAGTAAATTAAAAGTTGTTTCTAAATTTTGGTGATTGCATTTTATCTGTATTAACATTACCAAACATTGCGTTCTGGTATTGTATTTTATGTGAAACGAATGCACTATCTGCTTTATTCACAGTAACTGAATTGTCTTTCATTTCGAGGATTGAATCTGTATCAACAGCAATTGCGAACAAATTAAACCAAGTATATTTTGGTGTAAAATAGTTTGTATCTGGGTATTATTATATGTGTTCAATATACATTGGAATAAACCTACACAATAATTTTTATCAGCATATTTCCTCCCATTATTCACAATGCAGTACAGGGCCAGATCACCATTTCGTATTGGGAATCAGCCTGGAGTTTTGAGACAAATGCTAACATGAGTTTAAATAATTTTCCCCCCTTTAAGCATAAATTAATTCATTAAAAGTTCCGCATCTACCCTGCTTTTTGATTATCAATTATAGATTTGTAAAAAAATAAAGTTTTTCCTTAGAGGCATATACAGTACACAGTTCGAGGAGCAATGTCACAGCTTCGCATTCATCATGTGCACGGTACATCTTAGTAGAATTCATATTGCCGCTATTTTTGTTATTTTATTAATTTCCCTACTGGTTATTACACATGGACTTTTATGTATTGAATGTGCTGTTTTAGTTATCCTGATTTACAGATGTGGAGTACTGAGCCGATCGAATCCACTTCAAAAGTAGCCATCCAGAACCGCAGCAATACAAATATGACGGACCTAAAATGCAAAGACGTCCCTGACATACATGTACATGTATGTCCCGAAATTCTTATAGTCAGAAATTCCGGGATATGATCGAAATTTCATTTGCAACCTTATACAGTGTAATTATGCACTATCAATAACGATGTTGGTAATAACACGAGAAATATGACTTACTAATTTATAAATGTACATTGACCAGTTTTGCTCAGTGTTCATTTACTTTTCTCTTTGCTAAAAAAGTTGTCCACTTACGTTAACACAAGGCGGGGCAGAGAGCGCATACATCACCGCCGCGGAAACGTCCAAGGGCTGCAGGGCCTATGGCAAAGTACAGAAATAATATGTATATACAATTTAAAATTTTATCAAATAATCTGTCTATCAATCAACATCGAAGAAATGAATTGCTTTTACCGCGCGCGTATGTAAGCAACCAGTTCACCCCCTCCTCTCCATTTTTCCTGGACAGATTCCTACCTGTATGCAACGAGTAACGTTCTTGTTTTCATTCTCTCTCGTTTCTTGCCTTCTTGGCGTTATAATAATAGAAAGTTTTTTTCTTAAAGTTATCCATATTGCAATTGTCCACGTATCTGCATGCAGGACCCAGTCCTGAACCGTTCAAGTGGCATAAGGGATTTTTAAAACTTAAAGTCACTTTTAAATTGACAAATCACAGACGTATAGCGGAGAAAACATTTCTGAAGTAGATGTGCGGGTATTAGGTAGTAATCAATAAAAGAAAACCTGCCTTTTCCGGAACTTGCAATGCCTTCTCCAGGAGGAAATCTTGTGTGGAACCAGTCTGCACCAAACTCGGGCATATGACCTGTTCAATGAAATCACAACTGCCTGTAGATAGAAATATATTTATTTTTTGGGGGGACATGCGTTCTCTATTGGTCTACAAGTGATATGAATAAAAAATATTCACATATATGGGACACCGGCACGTGAAAAGCTCTTAGACCAACAGCGCAACATCTCCTTGGCGTAGACGCCCACAGACGCTTTAAATGAGACCAGAGACCAGTTTAACAATTTACCGGAATCTACATAGTACATATTACATAATAAACACATTGAAATATAATTAAGAATGTTCCCACTTGACACTAGGTTGAAAAGACTACGAACCGTTGTTCTAATCGTGGAGTTCTCGTTTCTCAGCTCGTGACGCAGACCCTCTGTGATGGCGTTCAGTGCGTGCTTGGTTGCGGAATAAGTGTGCAAGTTGCCATATTCCAGTACAGTATGGCCCATTGAGCTGCAAAAGAAAAAGAAACATATTTTGCAGATTGCATTATTCGAATACTTTCATTAAAAGAAACCGCAGCTTTCTCATGAGGGCGATGTCCCTTTGATTATCCTACCTGAATCAAATGTATAAACGTTTTGCATGGACACAGGAAGTCGCCAATATCATGTTAGGTTTTGATCTATGACTCTCTGTCATGGGGGACTCTCTATCACGTTACACTGGTACCAATAGTTATTTTGTTAGTAAACTCCTACGGAATACTCCATTGCAAGACAGGACCAATGACCTTGGCCCCAAATCACGAACGGTGTTATCCCAGTAAATACAGAAAGTTTTATAAGGTTACCATAACGTTCTTTGTTTATGTAAACGTTATGGTGACGTTATAATAATGTATTGTGTTTGCTGGGATTAGGTCGCTGTGCAATTGATGTACTGTTACTTAATTATAATGAGACTCGAGCTGCCTTGGCGGAGGTCTATGTTCTCTGTGTGCTTTTTTAGTTGTCATATCTTTTGATCTCGTGTTTTAGCATTTATTAAGGATAAATGGAATAAAAAAGTACATTTCCTGTCATTGCCCTCTTTGCAAAAAATTAATGAAGCGATTTTATACTCATTTGACAATATCATTTTACAACTATTTCCGCTTATACTACATGTGTCATGCTCTTTCTCCATCACTGCTGCCAAACTGCCCATCAGAGACATGCAGTGCAACACAAGAACATTAATTTAAGAAAACAAGCAATAGCAATCCCCAGAAGGAGAGAGGGTATAGTGCGAGAGAGGGATTTACCTGCTAATGTTAATAATATGTCCGTCATTCACATTGCGTTCCTTCATAGACTTAATGGAGAGATGTGCAACCGTGGTGGCAGCCAGTAAATTCACCTACAAAATACATCATATTTAATACAACGAGATAAACCGGTAGGCACAGTGTACAGGGTGCAAGAGATTTTAGACCCCATTCCCATAGATTTTAGATCGATCTATCCCTGTGGGGAGTCTCACTAGATTACCGTCAGCTTAACCGGCTTAAGCGTCTCTCCCGCCTACTAAAAGCTGTAAGGGGGTAATTAACTATGGTGAGCGCTCGGCTGACTGCAATTTAGCGTGAACCCCCAAGGAGTTAGGTCGATCTAAATCTAAATCTCTGGATCGATCTAAATCTCTGGGAATTCACTCTTAGATGCACATAAACAGGGTACATTGGTAGCTTTGCAAATTGATATTGGTCAATATAAATTCAAGGTGATTTAACATTTTATTGAGAAAGATCATGTCAATGGTACAATGCTTACATCATAAACTGTTTTAAACTCTGATGGAGGGCCGGAAATCAACGTTGACTCTACTGATGCAACAGCAGCGTTGTTTATACAGACGTCAACCCCGCCCACTTGTTCAGTAATTGCCCTGAACATGGATTCAATATCTTCTATTTTTGCAAGATTGCACTTCATAGGTATCAAGTGTCCAGCCTCAGATGCCAGATCCTCTGCAGTTTTCTGCGATTTAAAACGTTTAATCAAGCTTAAAATCACAGTATACATGTATGGTGCTTTATCTCTTGGATATACATGTTCTTTGTCATAAATATTAGATACCAGAGTCTTTTAACATATCCCTCATAACAAGTGAATTTCTTTCAAAGTGCATGAAACAACCAATCTCACTAAAATTACTTTCAGATTACAATCCAACCAGGTTTTCTTTTCTTTCTA